GAGAAATGAGTGAAGGTGATACAAAACTAAGCACACCTCCTGTGTTCTGCTGTTGTAGAATTTCTGTTCTTGATGGACTTTTCTGGCAATTTTGTTACTAATATGCTCTGTCACTGAGGAAAGTGCAAAATGGGAGCAACGTGTATTTCCAAGTCAATTTGACAACAGGTTGTTTTTCTTTTTCCGTTGTTTAAATTTAAACTTGATTGCTGAGAAGCGTGCCTCTCCTGGTACTTACAGCATCTATGGCATAATTCAAAAATAAAGGTGCAGGAAAGAAGAGATAAAGTATGCACTCTTTCTGTAATGTTTAGCAGAACTTTTGTTGTTCGCCTTTGAATTGCAGCTTCTCTAGCATTGAATAATCTGTGTCTAAATTAAATGCTATATTCACTGAAGCAGTGGTGTTTGCTTGGATTTGAATACTTGCAGAATGGAGACTATATTCTCGTGTTCCTGTTGTAATCCAAAGGCCAGTATAAGTAAAGAGAATTATTTGCCAAAGAGGAAGAAGCAAATAAAGGGAAATTGTCTCCTTTTCTCACGAAGACATTTATTACTCTGGTGTTGAGAAGCTACAGTAAATGCAGCTGACATAATGTCGCCAAAGTTTAGTGGTCTGTGAATTGAAAAAAGTGAATATAGGTCAAGTGTGCTTTCTAAGCATCTTCAAACACAAACAGAGGAGGTGGAAAAGGACCTCACATGCAGGCACCCCAGGACCAAAGAGCAAGATCGTGAAGTACCATATTTTTCACAAGTACCTAGCATCCCCAGCTGAGGTTGAGCCCGGAAAATAAAAGCACCTGCTAATAAGCACTTACAGTGCTCCCCTCTCCTCTCCCCCACCTTCCCTCCCCCCAATTTAATTAGCCTGTAAACAAAGACAGCAAAAAAAAATGGAAGTAAAGAGATGATACCTTTTTGCCCCAAGCCACACACTAGGTCTGTGGCTGAGCAAGGAAGAAAATGCGGGTCTCTTGTATCTCAGGATATTGCTTTTTCTACAGGACCATGTTGCTTCTCAGCATCAAGTGTTTATGCTATCAGGATAAAGGACCAAAATGGATTAATATTTTACTCGTCAACACAAGATGACAAATTGGTGTTTCTGGGCTTTCTGTTTAACACACAATAAAATTTTAAAATGTTTTACCGTTACACTACAGCATAGACAAAAGGAATGGTGTGTATTGCTCTGCCTTAACCTTACTGTTAGCACGAAAGCTGAGAATTCTTGAATTTTAAAGTGGTGAATGTATTTTACAATTTTAAAAAAGTTTTAAAAGACTAGAAACTGCCTTGATTCTGTGGAAAAGTATATGAAAAACACTTCTTACTGTAGCACAAATGATGAAAGTCTAACTCCCTTCTGAATGTTGAAAGGGTAGAACTCAAAAAAATAAATGTTAAATTCGTACAGTATTTTAGGGGATAGCAATAAAATGCTGAAACTAGGACAATCATCATATATTTTGTGAAAGGGGAGGTACCTTACTGTCTGAATTCTTTCACTTGCTTTCATTTCCAACCAAATAAATAATATCTGTGCCCCTTAGTTTACGCCATGTTAATGGCCTACAGGGCAGTAGAAAAAGCACTACCTAAAGAAAATGAAAAGGGTAATAGTGCTTTTGTGGTCACATCCTTTCCTGTTTCTCTTCTCTCTGTGCATCACTACCCTCACACCGTCAAGGAGAAAGCAGAAAATGTGCTGTATGGCATTTGGTTTTAGTTGTCTCCAAGGCAGTTTCCTAATAGGAGGAATTTTGTTTCCTTGCTTCAAAACTTCCCATGGATGACTCTTCAACTATAATTAGATGGTCTGTTTTTCCCTAAGCAACTATTGGCATTTGAGATCATCCAGCAGTGGTTCACTGTCACGGATTTCAGCAGTATTGCAAGTGGCAGTTTCGTAACTGGATGCTGGTTCCTTTAAAATCACTCTTGATGGCTCACCAAGGCCTAACTTCAGAGAGCTTTGTCAGCAGTTCCTACCTTTTTTTCACTTATGTGAGTCTTACATCTTAAAAAAATTTTATTTTGCTGTAATGGCTAGGAAGCTTAGTGACCTGTTCTTAAGTGCGTGATGGCTTAGTTGTTAATATAGTATGCATAAGACTGTGTAATTAGTGCTTTTAAAAATAAATCCTAGCCTTACTTATATTGTGAAATCTTTTACACAGCCGAGGCGTCACGAACATGTAGGAAATGAAGCACCTTACAAGCACACCAATGGTTTGTTTTTTTTAAGTTGTAAGTAGGTTACTAAATCTCAGAAAACCCCCCCTTGTGTTCTATTTAGTATCTATCTGTAGTACAGTCATTCAGAGTTAAGAATCTTCTGTTGCTGCGTTTCACTAAGATTTGAAGCCATGAGATAATGTTTTTTATAATCTTTAATTAAATTGCAAGGATAGTCTTTAAACGTATGGAGGGAGGGTTAGTCTTCTACCTCGCATGGCAAGTCAGTGGGAGTTTGGTGCCCTTTGGGATCTCCCCTGCAGTGCTTTTGACATTTTGCAGTGGCACTTCCATAGCAGCAGGTGGGCGCAACTTATGGGAAAAAAAAAAAATCAGTCTGAATTTGGGAGGATTGGTCTCTTTGTAGTCAAATGAGTGTTCAGGTTTTTATCTGACTGAGATTAAAGACCAGAGCGCCAGATGCAAGAGGTGTATAGGCTCTGCTGCTAACAAAATGAGCGGAAACTCCCCTTAATTTCAGTGGATATTGATCGGATCAGATAATTTATGAAGTGATTCTTGGTATTTGAAGTCCTAGAAGCAACCTTCAGCACTGTTAATGAAAAATCAGATATGTTTTTGTGCTGTATTTATCTACTGATAAGGCAGTCTGTCTGGCCCAGTATGACTTTGAAGTGTTCATTCAGCATCGTGGTTTGGGGAAGGCTGGTAACTTGGCTTCTTGTGTTGTTAATATGGTACTGCTACACAGTTCCTGAAGAGAGGGAGGGTCCAGTTGGTGAACCAGCCGTTGAATTTGGGTAAATTATTACAGACCACCTTGTAGCAGCTGATGTCAATGAGGAAGACTATAACTGCTAAGTCTAATAGAAATGTGATTAAACAGGGAACAGAATAAACTGGCCTTTCCCTGGCGCTCTCTGAACTGTCCATTCAGTTCTGTGTTACTCCTCAAAACCAAACAGACTTCACGACTCTTGCTTCAGCTTGCAAAGAAAAGTTAATTGTATGGAAAACTCTCTTAAAAATAGAAACAAAATTCTTGTAAGCTGTGACCAGCTAATTTCACTGTGGATCTAGACTGGTCATTTTTTGTTTCCTAGGCATTTTTTAAAAAACACTTCAAAGATGCCACCTTCAGAAATATTTAGTGCAGGTCTAGCATACTGTGCTCAAGTCAGGGGGTTGTACAGATCTGTGGGAGCAGCATTAGGTTAATGTTGAAGAACTCTGAAAACTCTGTACTTGAGTATCTTTTTCCAGGTACTTGTCTATGAAATTCCCATGGTAAGTACCTATATGCCTGTACAGGTGGTCAAATGTGGGTTTTATACTGTTGCAGTGTCTATAATATTCTGATGAAGATTTCTCATGTTGCCTGTGTGATAGTAAGAGGTGGAGCTCACTCCTTGTTTTCAGACTCTTACTGGATTAATCTAGTCGGGGCTGTGGAGATGTAGGCAAGGTCTTGGTTGCCTGGGTGGTGCTTTTGGGTGGGCTTCACCCCAGGACAAGCATACTAGAAATCATATTGTGAGTTCCTACTGTCTGCTTTGTTTACAGATTGTCTTTTAACATTGTTGAAAACTTGTGTTGTTTTCTCCCTTATTCTTCTGGAGTGTCTGTTCTAGATTTGCTTTAGACTTAACTTTTTTTTTTCATTATTTTGGCTTTAATTGTAAGTGATCACAGTAACAAAACTCACTTGGATGTCCCAAGTGGAACTTCTGTTTTGAACTCTGGGTCAGGGTGATGGGCTGCTGTGCTCCCCACCTTTTTGTTGTGGTGGTGGTGAAACGTGCAATTCCAGAGACCGTTCCCCAGGAACTATTTTTTACTTTACTAGTGTTTCTATACTTTCTTTTTAATCACTTTCTTATTGACATATACTACCTGAGACCACAATATGAATTTCAGGTCCTAAGCAGACTTATGCACTAGGGCTATTCAACTCAATTGCTACTCTGGCTTCTTTGGTAGTTTATTTGTATCTTCTGTAATGCTGTTACTTCTGTAATTCAGAGGTTACTGTTCTGAGCTGCAGATTCTTGGAGTGTTGTATTTTCTCGTGCTGCATTTATATGATTAATGTTTACCCCTGCAGTCATGTTGGTATAAAGTATCAGTGAAGTATTTCAACTTCAAGAGCAACGTGTTGACAAAGCAGCAGTTCTACTGGTTTGGTAAAACTGCTACAGCCTAAGTCTTCCAATAAAACTGCATTATATTTCTATGTCAGAGGTAACATTTCTAAGGATCTTACTTAAGGTGGGAGAAGTTGCAACACAAATTATAGCTGTTACCAAACATGGAGTACTAATACTTGTATGTTGAGTGGCAGTTATTTTGGTTTGGTTTCTTTTCTCCCAGCCTCCTGACTGAAACAACCTCAACTTATAATTTTGCAGGTACTGTCAGTGTGACTGTTCTACTTTGATGTATTTTTAAAACCTTTCACTTCTCTCTAGCCTTGTCACTCTGGCTACTCAAGTTTTTAGTCCTGATACTGAGAAAACTTCGTAACTGGTAATGGTGGATAGCATCTGCCATTTTGGCTTAATGCTTTTGCCAATGTTGGTGTATTTGGACTGTATCCATGAGGAAAGCTGCTTTGGATGATCTTTGGGGGTCTTTTGCAATAGTTTATATTTTGAAGAGCTAATACAGAATACCTAGTTTCTCAAGTCAGCTGAAAACTCAAAAGTTACATGGAAGCTTAGCAAAAGTAGTTTCCTATTGCCACCAGTATTTTGATGGTTAAACTGTTCCTTTTTTGTTTGTTTGTGTTTGCATAGAAACTGTGTGAGGGAATTCTAAACATCCTTGAAAAAGACACAAAAACTTCATGTCAAGTTGCCTGCCTGGAGGCCCTCCGGATTCTCTCCAGGGACAAGAAGGTTTTAGTGCCTGTAACCACGAAGAGGAACATGCAGATCCTTATGAGGCTAGCAAAGCTGGACACTGTGGAAGATCCTTTGGAGAGAGTGTCTGAATTTCCTGTTATAGTAGAAGCTTTAAAATGCCTCTGTAACATAATTTTTAATAGTGCTGTTGCACAGAAGCTCAGTTTGGAACTGAATCTTGCAGCTATGCTCTGCAATCTTCTGGAAAAATGCAGGGACCAACAGTTCGTTGATGACATTAAATGCTTTGATTTGCGTCTCCTCTTCCTTTTGTCGCTTCTACACACAGATATTAGATCGCAGTTGCGTCAGGAACTACAAGGGGTGCAAGTTTTGACTCAGGCTTTGGAAAGTTCCCTGAGTGTAAGATGGACGGAAGAATATAAAGCAGCAGAAGATCGTGACAGGCCTCCTCTGTCTTTGCAAGAGACAGATTGTGCCATTGAGGCACTAAAGGCTCTTTTTAATGTAACGCTTGACAGCTGGAATGTCCACAGCGAGGTAAGGCTCAGCTGAAGTGTTTTTTAAATTGTTTTGTTTAGCCTGCAAGAGCCAGAACCAGCAGGTAGATACACAAGAGGCAGTTGTTGTCCAAGCCCCAGAGCAACGATTTTAGTACTTAACCTTTTCTACTGTAATTTTGATGGAATATGACTGCATTTTTCAAAATAGCAGCTAAGGCACTCTTGGAATGTTGCATCATAATTTCTCTATATGCAAAATCAGTCTGAGAAAATGTTTCTGTCTGAATTCTAATTGTGTCATGTATTGATGATCTTGGGCTTTCAAGAGATGTTGAGTCTTTAATGCTCATTGCTTTGAATATCAAAATAACTCTCTTGTTCTTGTTACTACTTAGGCAAAAAATCTAATCCATATATTTTCTGTGTCATGGGAGAATAGCTTGGATTATATAATGCAAGTTAGAACTGTACGTTTTCAAATAAAAAATGCAAAGAAGACTATATCATAAGAGTCTTAGATTTCCAAAAGAAAATAAATGCTGTTCACTAATAATTAGGTGGATAGGAAAAAGTTTTTAATGTAAGTGTATCAGATGGCCACATCTCTGGAGATTGTGGACTATAGCAATAGGGTCATAATTAGAGCTGAGAAGTCTCCCTGGTTTTCTTCTGTTTTTCTGGGCACGATGATCAACTGTTTTTAATAACTTTATCTCTTATCCTCCAAACACCAGGTTTGGACTTAAATGTGATCTTTTAAGATGAAGTCAAGTACGAGAACCAAATGCACTCTCATTGTTACGTCTTATGAATAACATTTGTTTTTTTCATTATAACCTCAGATCTATTTTTTTTCTTAGACAAATATGCTTCCGATGTGTTGCATCCCTAAATTTATAAACAGAAACGATAAGGGTAACTTTTTTGTTGAATAACATATGTCTGTGCTACAGTAGTAGAATTATATAGGGAATCTTTCTTTTTAGTCCACATCATATTGTCTCTAAAACAGTGTTGTTAACTTTTCACTGGGCTTTGTAACTATGCAGCATGTAAAGCTAAGCAGAAGTTTACAGTAGTTAAAACTGACAAATAATTGTTCTCTTTACTGCATTGGACTAAACAGCAAATGCGACATTAATCATAACATTAAGGAATGTAAAACTTGAGAGGAGCCTGAAGCTTATTCTTTGTTTTAATGTCTCAAGGATACACTGAATAAGAAATCCTGAAGTTTAAGATTGAGTGAGTGGGCGGAAAAAATCAGAGAGGCTAATACTTTGAATTTCAAGGAAATATAAAGAAAGTGAGGGCCGTTTGTTTATATTCCTGACTTAGACCTTTATTAAAAATGTCTTTAGCGTTGTCAGAGAAAGTTCTTTGTATAGGCAAGCGATTGTTTTGGAGGTAGAAACTTGAGTGGAAAAAAATTACCCGAAGTCAAGCATGTAAGACAGCTATATGAATGTTTGCTAGGTCAGAGTTTGGAGAAGTATCATCTTTGTGATTAAGTTCTTCTGTGTGGAGGAAATAATGTCAGGTGTTTAGCTGGAAAATGAAGCTATATTACATGTTCACCTCTTGAGAAGTAAGCTCTTGAAATCTGGATCTTGAAGTTGGTATGCTCTCATAAAACACTGGGAATATTGAGAGATGGAAAGCCCAGTTTACCGCAGAAAGGCGGGCGGGAGGTGGCACGCAGTCGTGGCGTTACCTGATGAGGTTTCGTGTGGCTGCTGTCTGTGGAATGGGGGAGGTTTTGTCCCACAAAACTTTTCCTCCCCAAAGAGCCCAAGCATGCAACTGTCAGGAAAATTTCTTTCAGAGTGGAGGAAATTCTGGTGTTAGTAACCTTTTTTTTTTTTTTTTTTTTTTTTGGATGAGAATTTAAGATATTCTGGGGCAGAAGCAGCTTATTTTGTGTTTTGAAATAAAGCTTATGTAGTAACTCTTTACTAGAAGTTCCTAAAAGCAAGGAACCTTTAATATAAAGAGCACTTTAGTAGTTGTAAACTGTTTGCCAGATGTGTTAGGTGACGTTCTGCTTAGCAAGTATCTCTGTGGAAATATTAATGAGCTGTAAGAAGAGTAAACAGCATGTTAATTAAGTGGGCTGAAGATGCAGGACTTGAAGAGATTACAAACAGTAGACGGGATGGAAAATAAAAGGAGAGTAGAGTTGTCAGGCATGTGAGTAGAAAACTAAATGAGATCCATCCTAAGGGGGAGAGAACCATTTGAAACACCAGTATATAATGACTGGAGATGGTTTCAAAGTAGCAAAGCCAGACAAGAGCCACAGGTCGTGCAGCTGGCAGATTTGGATGCTGATTTTCCAAAAGGTGCGTTGGGACGCTTTGTGCTAGGTCAAACACACCAGAACATATGATGGATGCCAAGAAGAGCTAATGAAAAAGGACGAGGACGATGATACACACGGTTAAATGATTGCAGTTACCGGTGTACTTTTGTGTGGCTGCTGTCCGGTGGGAGATTGGAAGGGGGAATTGCTTGGGGAGAGCAAAAGTAGGGCAAATAAGGTTGCTGAGAGTAGAGAAGTTATTAACGAAGTGGAGAAAAGGTATCAAGGGAACAGAAGCAAGTGAATTAGAAAAAGAAACAGACTGGGTGGGGGAATGAAACTGTTGGCAGCAAAAGGTCTAAGTGAGGAGGAGGCAAATTAAATGAAGAACATATGTAATCTAAATGGATGAAGAGGCGGCTGGCTGTAAATACAGGGAGGAAGATAGTAGTGGTATCTTAGGAACAGTGGTGTGGAATTGAGCAAATGCTTGTAACAGGGTTTTCTGGTAGTGAAGGTTCATTTAACTGGAAAAAAGTCCCCAGCGACTTTTACAAGGCCTAGTTAAAAGGCCAGCATATGACAGTTACATTGCATTAAGCATTCAGTGAACTCTAAGGTACAGTCCTTTTATTGATAGGGATGGATGTTATGATCTAATAGGTATTTTCCATCTTTAATTTTTATTATTCTAGTGACCTGAAACCCCCACTTGCAATCTTCAAAATGAAAAAATATCTTCATAATTTATATTTATATAGACTGAATCTCATCAATTTCGTTACATGGCTGCCATCCTTCGACACTGCTTATTAACCACGGGCCCTACTGAAGACAAAACTGAAGAGTTGCACAGGTTAGTAGAATTGCAGAACCGATCTATTTTAAAAGGTTATTTATTTTAAAAAAATAGGGAAAAAAATTGCTTTGCCTAAAATCTAAAGTGGAAAGCTGAGAAACAATGAAAACTAATACTTTTGAGTAAAATATTATTAGTCGTTTTGATGAAAGCTGTTTGCCTGAAATATTGTTTAAGCATGTCTGCTGTTCCAGAGAGAAAGTGGCTGGCAAGATTGTTATTTTTGATCAATAATAATGAAGCTGACCTTTTTGAAATCTTTTTGTGTGTGTGTATGTAACTGAGGATGAAAATACATATGGAAGTTCTAGGGGTAGTGCAAATTGAAGTGGAATGCAACTTCTGTTGTTTTGCACAGAAGCTGGTGGAAGAACTGCATTTTGAGATTTTTGTATGTAACTTTTGCAATTCTGATGGTTTGGGATGGAAGTAACAAGTTGGTATTTTATCTCCAATAGTTCTAGGCTGCTTTATTGAAAGTAAAAATATCAGTTCCCTGGTAATAATATTTTTTTTTTTCAAAGATGAGTGAATCATCTTGCAGTTTTAGGTGTGTTTATTTTTTTTCCTCGGTTCTGCACCCAGCGGTTTGTTATGTATTTGCAGCCAATAATCCGATCAAAATTCAGAGTATTTTTAGTGAGGTGGTGGTTCTCTGTTCAGTGTTACTGGGGTTTTTTTCCGTGACAGCCTTATTTTTATCCAAGTAGGTCAGCTGTTCACAGAGCCTGACAGTACGGTAGCTTCAAACACTATCCTGTGTTATCTCTCGGCAATGAAAGTTAGTGTTGCCATTTTCTTCCTCAGAGATGTCCGTGTGTCTTAAGTGTAGGATCTTTTGACGATCTACTGAACCAGTAGTCTCTGGGAAGAAGGATATAGTTTTTCACACCCAGCAATCTTGAAAGTGTTAAATGAACTTGATTAAAATCTTGGAAAGCCCTTAGAGATCAACAGTCTTAGTAGGTGAATACTAAAATCCTACTTCAGAGCCCTTCTCAGTTGGTGCAGGCTAGTTTGGAATAATGTAGGATCCTGTTGCAGTAGTTGCCGTGACTGAAGTTAGTGCTGAGTGTGTCCTGAAAGGCAGGCAGTGTTTTCTCTTTGCTGCTGCTTATGGTGGGTGTTTTGCGCTCTCATCCTTCTTTAAGGGAGGGACTGGTGGGAATAAGTTCCCCACTGTTGGGAAAATTGAATGGATTTGGATAAATTCAACAACTACAAGAAGACAGAGATCAGCCTTTAGCATTTGATCTTGTACATAGCAAGACTGCCTGATATTCTGGTGAATTATTACACAGCTGATGCTCTTCCCGTGAAAACATGTTCTGTTCCCTTGTCCAGGAATCTGACTAGTCTAATCACCCTGTAAAATATATCACGCTGTAAAATTTAATTATCTTGTGCTATTGCAAAAGGATGCATGTTACACAGGTCCTTTTGGTTTTAGCTTTTGTAAACACTTGCAGATGAGATCCAAAAAGGGCTTTACATATACAAGTAGACAGCTGTGGAGAACATGTAGGATTGGTGTGATTTCTGTCCTTGCTTTTTTCAGTCAGAAGGGGTATTTTGTGTAGAGATGCTGCCCACGTGGACCTTATGGAGACACCAAGTCAAGGCGACGATTCTGCATAATTCTGAGAGGGGGAAGCAGAAAAGAAATGGGGATGGTTATCACTGCCTTGTCTCACTGCAGTTGTTTCCCCTTCTCCATCAGACTCAGTGTAGCACTCCCTCAGTCTTTCTGTTATGCTGGGAAAACAACTTTCTCCCTCTGTTAGCTAACTGTGGTTTGTTTAGCTCAAGCTGATAGAAGAAAGAATGCAAGTATAGTATTGCTGCATGTAGTATTCAATCTTGATTTATGTCATACTCGAGGGTTTTTTTTTAACATGCTAGAAGAGCACTGCACAGGTTTTAAATTTTGTGATTCAAATACTTCAGCCTGCTTGCAGAACCTGAGTTTTGTCTTTGAATGCTACAGGATGCAATAAAAGCTGAATAATTTAATACACTTTTCCACCAAGACTGTTCATCACAAGGCAGCTCTGGAATAGAAAAGGTATAGTCAGAAGTAATGCCCCTGCAAATCCTCAGAGGGACCAGGGGCCTGGATCAGAGGGCCCCACTTCAGTCCCCTGATGTATTTGATCAAGCAAAACTTTCATTCCTGATAGCAGCTACAATAATGAATGAGTAAACTTGTGTTAGCAGTCTATAGCTAACATAGCATAGCTAAAAAAATGAGGCTGTGTTGTCATTTGGGCTGTTCAGTATGCTGGACTCTGACCGTGCAATCTTTATTGCTAGAGATGAGGTGTGAGTGGGAGAGCAGAGTGCAACTTCTCGCTCTGCTTTCCACCTGGAGCCTATCAGTAAGGCAATTAGGAAAATAATGTTAAAAATGGAATAAACTATAAGTAGTGTTGAATGAACTTTATGAAGCATTAGGGAGGCATAAGTACATTTCTTAGAACTGCTGATTGCTTGCACTTCTCTAAGTTTGTGTATCTGCAGAATGCAAGATGCTTAAATGAAGGGTTCGGACAGCCTGTTAAAGCACATTGTATGAACGCTTGTGCTCTGAATGTGTAAGTTGAGGATTTATTTTATGTGAGCATCAGGTGTTGGATACATGCCCTGAGCTGTGATGTACTGTCAGTGTGACTCTATTTCTAATAAATAAGCAGAAGTTACCTATAAAAATATCTTATCTAATTTAGTACCTGGTATTGTTGTCATTATTGTGGTTCTGTCATGTCATTACTCAACGTTTGAATATGAACAGCTTAAAGCACCACATATTAGAGTGAGTGCCATTTTTGCCCACTAACAAGGTTTTAATCAAGGCATTCAGCAGCTCTAAATAGGCCTTTGCTTCTGAATTTGCATATCAGGAGGGGGCTGGGAGCATGAGTGGGTGGATGTCATGTCCCAGTGATTAATGATCTCTAGGAAGCCGAAAAGGGGAGAGTAATATACACAGTATTTCTACCCCCTGGAGTAGGAATGCAAACACTATTGTGCAGATCTGTGCATAGTCACTGACTTCCTGGTAGCTGGAGAATTTCATACACTCCTCTACCACAAATAAAACTGTCAGTGGAGTGACAAAGATCAGAAAGCCGGGCTTCATTTATTGAAAAGAATAGCTCAGACACAGTGATCCAGAAAATTAATTTTGTAGGTGTTTGGGAACTTGGTTGTTTAATAAGAAACTGGTAAAAAGAGAACTTTTGGTGAAAGGCATGAAGCCACCAAATATTTGTTGAATTTCAGTCTGTTTTGTTTCTGACTATTCCTGAATTATTGGAGAGGAATAACTTCCATGATATAAAAGATGTATCTTAAACAGGAATTAGAAACAAAACAAAAAGAAACAAGCTTTCCAAAAAGTAGAAGTTGTCTGAATTTCAATTGCTAAAAGAGCAAAAGGGAGATGGCACAATGTGGAACAGCCACCCAGTCTGATCAGACCAAAACCAGCACATTTGTTAGAAGTCCTGTTATGTTTGATTGCCACGATTTGCTTTCCCTTTTACTAATTCTTTGTTAGAATTGTATTAATAACATAAAAACTGAGGGCAGCTTGTAAGTAGATGTTATTAAAAGTGTTAAATGAAGTTGTTTGACAAGTTTTCTCTATTCTTGGAACACTTCGCCAATCCTTGAAGCATCAGTGCTCATAGTTTCCTTGATAGCTTTGAGATCTGCATATGTAAGCCTAAATAGTTCTGTAGTATTTCGGAATATATCCATTTATAAGTTCAGTTGGGCATCAGCAAGTAAATAATGACAGAATTCTAATTTTTGCAGCATCTGTGTAATTTAGCCCCATATTCAGGAAGAGTACAAATGCAAGTCTGTATAATGAGAACAGGATAGATGGCAAACTCAAGGGATGTGTACCATACAAGAGACTCTTGCAAAGTAGGTTCCATCTTACTCCATTAAAGAGGAGGGAGGGACCCTGTGGTCTGATTTAAATCACTTAATGGATATTTGGGAAGCGCTTCTCTTTGTGCTTTGTAGAAGGCAAAGACTGCTAGTTACTGGAAGGTAGTGCTTGGTAAATGAACCTGAATCTTTTTTTAGCGTGTTAAAAGCCTTCTGTATTTTCTATACACTACAAGCTAAGTAAAAGTGAAAACATTTCAGGGGACCTGAGAAATTGCCACCATGCCCCACTGTTAGAGGAGGAAATGTTTTCTATGGTGCACTTTGTCACATTAATGATGGTAATATGGAAGTGTTGTAAAATGTTTTAAGTTTCAAGGAGGAAAAAACTGACTGCTGCAAATCAATGTGAGAGTTCCCCCTGCTGTCCTGCAAGATCAGCTGCTGCAAGACGCTGCTGGAAGCTGTGCCTTATCTATGGGATAGGATACTGTGGGGGCTGGAAGTAATAATGCACTGCTGCAGTATAGCTTTTGGAGCTTTTGTCTTTCTTTTTCCTTGTTTGTTCCAAGAGCCAGCACTCGGGCGATAATGCACACCACCTTCTTTAAAACCCAGAGAGTAGAAAATAAAGCATTGTTTGAGTTGCAGGGCCTCTTCTTGGTTGCAGTTGTACAAACAGTTTTATGGCGAGTTGTACTGTTCTTAATTCTTGCTTCCAAATGAATAATGAATTTTTATGATCTGTTTCAGCAATGCAATCAACCTCTTAAGCAATATTCCCGTTTCTTGCTTGGATGTTCTTATTAGTCCATCATCCCAAGAGGAAACAGATATAAAATACAATGGTATGAATATGGGAGCAATTCAAATTTTACTGGATTTCATGGAGAAGAGAATAGACAAGGTATGGGCTGCAAACATTCTTCACAAAAGGGTTCTCTTTCATTAAAGCAAAAAGTGCACATATGTAAAGCTTCTTACAAACCTTTCAGACAGTATTTAGCACAAATATAGATGTTCTTGCTTCTAGATTGTGAAACACCTCAAAACTGAGGACAAATTCCTGTGAATATCTGAAGCATACTTGCTTGTGTGTGTGTGTGAGGATAAATATTTGGGTCTTTGTTTATATCTATGTGAAGTTCATGTTTTGGCTGTCATATAGGACTTTATTGAAGGGTTCATAGGTTTTGAAAAGAAAAATTTGCTCTTAAAAATTTTTTATTTGTTTTTGGTTTTATTTTAGGGAAGCAGCTATAGAGAAGGTCTGACTCCAGTTCTCAGTTTATTAACTGAGTGCTGCCGAACTCATAGGAATATCAGGAAGTTTATCAAAGCTCAGGTAAGTAAAATATTCGTCAAAATTTGAATATGAAGCTAATGATAAACTTTCTGAGGTTTGTACATCAGTGCAAGACACGGATACTTTAAAAGTATGAATGGTTTCATGTTAAATTACCCACAAAGTTCTCTGCAGTATTTTCTTCTGTTAGGTCTCTGACAACTGTCAGCTATAGAAATAATTTTTCAGTCATGTAAATCAATAGATATTATTGCCTAAGTTCCACGATTCATTTTGTAGAGCTGTTAAATAGTAACATTAGGGGTATTGTAAAGCTGTGTTAATGTGGGTCACCATGGATCGTGTGACACAGGGGCAAAGAACTCAGTGAGGTCTGCCCCCTTACCTCCAGCATATCAAAAAAATTTCAGTGCAGTTAATAAAACTTTGCAAAGCTGTGTGGTAGCCAGTGAGGCTACAGGTGTTTCGATGGGTTCTGCTTGAGTTTTAGTTTGACCTCAGCAGGCAGGAGTCATTGGAACTGAAACTTGTGTATCAGCTGTTCTGTCAGAGTAAAACCCTGTCCCCGAAGAGAGGCACGCTTAATCACTTGGTCTCTTAAAAGAGCTGTTTAATACAGCACAGGCTGTGGGTAGGCTTTTTACAGGAAAAAGGATTTCCATGCCATGGTTAAAGATCTAAAGAATCTCTATGGCTTGGTGGTTGGGTGTGGTGTTTTCTGTTTGTTCTGCTGCTTTTCCTGAAGTCGAGTGGAGAAATGTTAAAAGATGAGCAAGGGAGAGACAGCTGAAACCAGCTGAGAAATGTTCTTTTTCCTAAGTTGCAGTGATTTTCGGGTTGCATCTCAGATGCTGCTCCCAGATCAAAGCTGTGCCTGAATTCATAAATGGAGTTTATGATGGAAAAGAGCGTATTTTGCATATATTTTCTGTGTCTTTCATCTGTACCAGAAAAGTGTTTTTGAGGAATTTAAGAAACTCGTCTTGGTGTTTTTATTGGTTTTGTTCACAGCAGTTCTTTCCTAGTTAAGTAAAAAAAAAAAAAAAAAAGCTGCAGAGCCAAATGTTCAGAAGTTAGAAAATGAAGTTGTCTGCATGTTTTTACGACATCTCGGCATCTAGATGTCAGGATATAATTGCATGCTGTCTCTTACCACAGGACCACTGCCTCATATAGTGCACAGAATGGCTGGATGCTGCTAACTGCATGACCGGATGTTTGATATTTTGAATTATCCTCATTGTTAAGTGTGGCCTTAGGCTTTATTTATTGTGCACTATTCAAATTCTGATCTGAAGACAGAATGATTAATTTCTTCATGGACTGTCCTATGGCACTCATCACTGTATTAGTATTAGAGTATTCTAAAACATTAATTCATTCTTACAACACACTGTGAAATGGCAGTTATGGTACTATCCCCATTGGGGAAAGTAAGCAGGGACAAAGTAAAATGTTTTCGCTAATCGTTTGAATATGTAGTTTGAAAAAGACAGGATCTGTTTTTTTCAAAGTAGTCAATACTGTAGCATTTGTTTGTTTCAGTATCGGTTCCCAGTGAGTCTGATTTCAGTAGTAATTGTGCAGTAATTTTGCACAGAACATGACATTTTTACGTTAGCTACCTAGAAGACAAAGGACCTGCAATTTCTTAGTGACATCTTTGGTTTCATTCCCTAGTAAAACATTGAAGATCCATAATTCTTACAGGAGTCTTCAGACCATTAAATATTTCATATTACAACCCAGATTTGTTTGCAGATGATATCATATCATGCGAATGTGAAAAAATTAACGTAGGTTTTGAGTCTGAATGCATACGCACAAGGAGGTGGAAGTTAGGTTGCAAAACCAGCCATGTTTCAGGCACCTCCTGCCCTTCTTGAGGGTTGAAGTTAACAATATTAATGACATTTAATGAGAAAATAATGTGTTTGAGGAAATGTTATATAGTGTTTTCTCCAAAATCTTTTTGAAACTTAGCTTCAGCCTTTAAAAGAGTGTTTTCTGGGAGAAGTACGCATTTCCTCTATACACGTAGAGCCAGTTTTTGAAAATCATGATAGTAGAACTTGCAATGTGACTTATTTTCCTGTTTTTTCACTAGAAGTATATTCATTGTTCTGTATAAATTACAAATCATGTTAATATTGTAAGTTTCCTTAAGCTGGTATTTCTAGTGCTTTTGCCAGATATTTGAGGAAAACAGAAGAAACAAAGAGCGTGAGATTACTGCTGCCTGTTAGCCAACTCTTTTGGGACACTCATTTGTGCTCTTAAACTCCTAATAGTTGTCTTCTTTTTAAAGTCTGTGTTTGGGACTGAGTACTCTTCTGCCCAGGATGGCAGACCAGAAGGCCTGAGTGTTAAGAAGCAAGAGTCATTAATAATGCATGTAAGCATAGTTGGGTTGATTTTATTCCTTTTTTTTGAAGGAGCAGAGCTTACAGTATTTTCTTGTTCTGTTGACTGTGTTTTCTGCAAGGACTGGATAGGTATTGCCATGCGTTCTATGCTGTTTTTCCTTCTCTTGTGCTGCTAGGTATTGCCTCCATTAAGAGATGTATCAAATCGTCCAGAAGTTGGCACAACAGTGAGGAACAAGCTTGTGCGCCTTATGACACATGTTGACCTTGGAGTAAAGCAAATTGCAGCAGAATTTCTTTTTGTTCTTTGTAAAGAGAGAGGTAAAAATTACTTCTTCTTCTCCCTTTTATATAAGGTCTTGCTGTAATTAGTATATTTGCCTCTTGCTGTAACTCTCAATTCTTTTAACACTATGCTGGTTTTTGTTTTGTAGCTGAATATAGCTGAATAATTTTCTGTATCGCTCTTTGCAGTTGATAGCCTGTTAAAATATACAGGCTATGGTAACGCGGCAGGATTGCTGGCAGCAAGGGGCCTGCTAGCAGGAGGAAGAGGAGATCATTGGTACTCAGATGACGAAGATACGGATACAGAAGAATACAAGTCTGCAAAGCCAAAGTATAGTATTGCTTTCAGTCCTGTTGCAATTTAGATGTTTTGACATAATTTTTTTGTTTTGGAATTACATGTGCTTATATTAACTGCTGTCTCCTGTTGACTTCATGGTCTAATTATTGAGAAACCAGCCTCTAACAGTGACTGTCATATAGTGAGATGGCTGCAAAAAAAAAAAAAATTCACTATGAGAATGGTTTAACTTCAGTAAGGGGAACTATGTAAAAATGAAAACTTGTCAAAAAGAAATAAGGAACAAAAATGAGAAATGTTTGTCTAGGAGCAGTTTCAAGATGCGTATTAGAGGTTCAGAGTACATGTGTGTTCTGCATTTAAATGGATCCTTAAAAAGCTGGACTTGTTAGATGAGAGTAAAGAAGGCTATCAGAGACGATACTGTAAAAGAGTAACAAAGCAGGCCAAAAAGGTTTTGAAGAGCAGCTTACTGGAGGCCTTAAGAATAAAGAGAACCTTCTTCACAGGTTCATCAAGAGCTGGAAGCCTGCAGTATGTATATGGTCATTAGATGGTTGAGATGTAAGTAGGCAGAGAAAGGGGGCAAGTCCATAGCAAAAAAGCTAAAGGAATTCTTTGCGTCATTGTAACTATGAGGAAGTTTGAGGGAGTTCTCAGGTACGACCCTTTCTTTACAGACTATGAGTCTGAAAAACTACTTAAAATTCAAGTGAGAAAAGAGATTTTTGAACAAATTGAGCAAATTTTAGAGAAAAAAAATACAGTAACGAACTTAGCAAGGATGGCTTTTGCCCCAGATTTTCCAGGACCTCACAGGAAGCTGCCAAACTACTAACTATTGTTTGTGAGGTGTAGCTCTGTAACAGAGAAAATGAAGGTGTCAGATGTAGCTTAAGGTTTTAAGCGAGACTTTAAAAAAGGAACAAACCAGTAGGCCTAGTTTCAATCAGTCAGATTGCCTGGTACTAAAATTTTCCTAAAGAATTGAGGAAGTCGCATAGGTAAATATGGACGGAGCAAAAAAAATTTTGTAGAAGTCACACCTCAGAAATCCAATGTATTTGTCTGAAGGATTCAGTGATCATATAGAAGCTCTGTCTGTTGATTTTTATTAATTGTAATTGATTTGGTGTTAAAGGTTTCAGTTTGTCATGTTACATCTATGATTTGATGCCATTTTAAGTAGGTTCTGAAGTTGTTGATAGGGGGCATCTGAAGCATGTTATTTTTCCGCTTTACTCTGTTTTGCTTGAATTACACAGAGATGATTAGGTATATGACAGGGGGTTGTGGCTCACTGAAAGAGTCTTATTAAGAAACGTGAATGAAAGACAGGAATAAATGTAGGAGAAGTTACAGGAATTATATTGATTCTATGCTAAGAAAAGAACTCGGAACAGGAGGTTTCTTTTTTATTTCTGCTCTTCAGGATATTTTTTTTTCTTGCTCTTTTGTCTCTGCTCTTCTTTCAAAAGCCTAACATTCAGTTATATTCATATAAGTAGAAGTATGACATCTGTTCAGTCATAAAAGCTGACACTTAAATGAAACATTCAAGACAATTGCCCATTGCTTTATGCATCTGATTTTCTGTACTGCCGTTAAATGTTTGTGATTCAACTGCTTGAAAAGGTAATTTGCCCTGAAAGTGTTCTTTAAAACTACTTATCTGCTTTTGTTACTTAACATTTCTGTATCGCCATTCACTTGTTTTAACAGTGAAAATAACTGGCGTTGTAAATTCTCAAAGTAGCCTTAATTTGATTTGAGCAAAAATCATCATGGGAGGTGAACGGTAAACTAATTCAACGGTTCTTCATGAATAAGAATATGTAACTGGAACCTGTCTATATTTTTTAAATTAAGCCTGTACAGAGTTAGTTGCAAACATGTTTCTGTCATTCTGTTTCCCATCTATGTCATTATTACTAATTACTATGTCATTATTACTAATCATTATTACCATCATTATTCCCCTGCTTTCAAACTGCTTGTGTAGGGGTTATAGCATAACAAGTACTAGTGGAATGTGCATTTCTGAGTAGCTTACAAGAAATTAATGCAGTGAATCAACAAGATAATATCCTGATTCATGGGAAAGGGCTACAAAAAGGTATAGATATGAACGTTGGCTATTTACAGTAAAAACTTGCATGTGCAGTTCAGACAGTGTTAGTCTTGGTTTCTGTTAGTGGGTTCCTCTTTCCTCCTACCAAGAAGATAGAAAATAGATAGAGAAAATTTACATACATACTTCTATAGAAAAGTAAACTGTATTGTTTTTCCACCTCCAGCATTAACCTTATCACTGGTCACTTAGAAGAACCGATGCCCAATCCGATGGATGAAATGACAGAAGAACAAAAAGAATATGAAGCAATGAAGCTTGTCAACATGTTTGATAAACTTTCCAGGTATTCTATTAGATAGCTGCTTTAGAGGGAGGCAGCTCATATCCTGACTCTTTACTAAGATCTAGTGCTTCAAAATAGTGCTAGAATCGACTTCTTTGCAGGATTAGGGTCACTTTAACTACAGAGAAAAATGTTTAGCCCTTCAAAGAAAAGAGCGGTATGTAACAGGACTTCAGAGGAAACCTTTTGGAGAGGACTGGACAGAATCAGGAAGATCTGGTGGTGAGGAGACCTGCCTCCTAAATGGATAGGCTGATAATAATGAAAAGAATTTCTCCTTTTAAAGTAATTTCTCCTTTTAAAGTATGGGACACAACCCAAGCCCAAGGCAAGTGCACTCATTTTCCCCAAGTCAACGAGCAGCATCTCATGGTAACTGCTTATGTCTGCTGTTTATATGAAGAACAAATACAGTGTGAAAATCGTTGTCACCAGAAGCAATAGATTATATAATAGATCAATTAAAAGGGAATTTGCAATTCAGAATTATTGTGGATTTATTAGAATAAGTGTGAACTGGATTACAAGTGAGCCTTTATAATTTGTTTCAAATGACTGAGATAATGCCATAAAAGAAAATGGTACTTAATGTGACATAAAGGTGTACATTATTGATAAAGAAAGTTGATTATTATTTTATAACTTTCTACATACAAAAAGGGAACAGACCTGTGCTGTTAGCTATAGCCTTTTTTCTCTTTGACTCAATATGCCTAGAATTTGCTGTTTTTTCTTCCCCCATACTTGTAGCCATATTGGAGTGTTTGCTTGCAGTTTCTTTTCTGTGTAAGCAAAGTTTTACATTCTTGAGGAACACTTAATGTAATACTAATTTACCATTGAACTGAGCTGTAGGAATTTATGTAAATAGATAAGTGGATCATTCTTCAAACATGGGAAAACTCAGCAGCCAGAAGTGTGTTTGTGTTTTGTGAGAGTCTGTAGATATTCAAATAACAAGATCTATTGAGAGAAATTCGGAAAACCAGTTTTTTTACATCTCTATTAAAGATTAGGAATATGGCAAAAGATACAGGAGAATCTGGATTTTATATTAGCTGACAACGACTGAATTATAAGCAGAAGCGAAAGCAGGGAAGGATCTCGGAACAACTGATCTGAGACTGTCAGTGAAGTAATTGGATACTTTTTCACATTATTTGCATGGAAAGCAAGTGTAGTATGTCACAGTCTTTTTAATAAAGAGAAGAAAATGCAATGCACATGTAATCTTAATTGAACTACTATGTAAAATGGCAATGATTGCTATGTAAGCTAGAGAATTAAGATGCTGAGCGTTAGGGGTACCACAATAAAATGACTAAATGGTCTAAAACTTTTTTAAAAGGAAGATTGTGACCGGAGATAAACTAAGACTGAAGACAAGTCAGTTGCTATCACTATAGCAGTTACACAAAAAGTCCAAATGGCCTTACTGTAGCATAAGAGCCTTTTCAGTTTGGAGGCTTGGAGACACCTGCTGTGTTGCCTGCTACAAACTGACAATAAGGAAGCAGCTGGTGCCCTGTGTGGCTACTTATCCTCTTGGCCAGTAGCATTGCTGCTACCTTGGGCTTTCTGTGTCGGTTACATCCACCTGCAGTTTCTTCTATAGTACTTAGACTGCAAACTCTTCAGGGCTGGGGACTCTTTTTGTTGTGAGGTTTTTGTTTGTTTGTGGTTTTTTTAGTATAGTGATTACTGTGGGACAGTGTTGTTGATGTGACCCCTTTAGGTGCTGTGATAGCATGAATAAAATCACTTGACCATTCTTCCCACCCTTTTTGTCTTACTGAAAATGGGGGGGGGGGGGGCAGAAGGCTGGCGG